GCTTAGAAGCTGCTGTGTCAACCCCCCAGGGTCTGAAGCAAGAAGCAGGTAGCCCACATTTGCATAAAGACGTTGCTCTTTTGTTTGTGAATCCATATTAGTCCATTATCTATTCAGCCTATTTCTATAACCCTGAAGGCAGCAAGGGGCCTGTCACTTGAAGTCAATAACGCCCACTTAGGGCAGCAATGGTGTTTGTAAACAGTGTACATTTAAATTAAAGGCATGATCTTTTGATTTCACTTACATTTCAGGACATCCACGGGAAAATGAAAACATAAAACCAAAAATATCACCTTTCTTGCTATCGAGTAATTGATTTTTTTTTTAAAAAAAGCTTTCACAGTAGATAAAATCGGCACCTGGAAAGACTAGTCTTTCACCCAGGCATTCTTTCATTCAAGCGGACCACTACGAGTGTACGCCTGGAGGAGTCAGAGTTGGCTCCTAACAAAAGAGTCTGGATTCCACAATCTGCCTTTCGCCAGGGGCGTCGTCCCCCAAAGCACGCAGCTAACTGCATCTCCTGCTGAACCTGTAACAATTTAATTGTATAAGTCAGCCTAGTCAAGCAGCTCCAGCTCATGACTGGGAGACATGAAATTCATTGTCATTATTGTCCCTGTCATTTTGGATCATTATATCCTGCTGCAGAATTTTCCTCAGTTCAGTGCATTTTTACCTCCAGGAGTCAGGGATTATAGCTGAGGTTGTGGTAGGGGCAGAACCGTGAACTACATTTACCTCAGGGGAGCCAGAGATTAAATTGGCTTTGCTCTCTCACGAGTTGAATTCGTCTATTTGTATGCTGTGAGTTTTAGGTTGGAATAAAAATGAATATTCTAGTAGAACCTGTGCTTTAATTTCCTCTTTGAAACATGGCTGTCACTTCCTTTTATTTACATTAGGGCAGCCAGTGTAATTGCTGGTAGGTGGCTCTTTCGAGATGTGCATAGAAATACTTTCTGTGTGTCATCTGATAGGAAATGGTAGATATCTCTCATTTCCATACCTTGTCGGACAGAAAGGAAGTATTTCAAGCTATTGGGTTGCGCTTTGGTTTCATTTTATAGAGGCTTAATAAGGATATGTAATGGTTTAAATATTTCACGAGTCTTAATGAGATCTCAGTTTTGTGCACTGGAGTCCACCCAGTAAAACACCAAATATCCACTCTGAGCATTGGGAGATCGGAGTAAAGTCGCTAGAGGAAGACAAGTGAGTTCCTGAGGAAACCAGCCGCCCCAGCAGCTGCTTCAGACAGCACACAGCCTGCCAAGTCAGCCAAGCTGCTCGTGCGGTAAATATTTCTTGCCGGCTTAGGAGGCCTGGCCCCGTCACCATAGCTGCTACCTGGCTCCCGAATGATGCGATTGAATTAGGATGCTGGCGAAGAATCCTGAAAATACCCTGCGCAGCCAGAAAACGAAGAAGTCTGTCTCAGAAGTACAACCCGAATGCTCCTGGCGAGTCAGGGTGGGAGGCTGTGTCTCACTATTTTGGACGTGTTGCAGAGAGACCGTCCCTGGAGAAGGACATCACGCCTGGGAAAGCGGAAGAATAGCACAAAAGAGGAAACCCCTCAGGAAGGCCGATAGGAGCTAGTTGGCCATTATCTCTGACAGCCTAGAAGGAGAACACACAACGAAAGGAAGAAACTGGCACGTCATCCGATGCCAAGGTTTCATTTCATATGAATTTCAAGGGGCTATACACCTAGGGGACATTGCCCCCTGGACTGAACTGTCACATCTCCTTTTGTCTGGACTGAGTACAATCCAAAAACCCAACTCACTGTCATCGAGTTGACGCTAGCTCATAGGGGCTCTATACGACAGGGAAGACCCGCGCCTGTGAGTTTCCCAGACTGCAATACTTATGAGAGTTGAAAGCCCTGACTTTCAACCGGAGAGAGGTTGGTGTCTTTGAACTTCTAACTTTGCTGATAGCAGCCTGATTCTTAACCACTATGCCACGAGGATTCCTGGTACTGAGTAGCGAGAGCGGTTATTCTTTGAGGTGAAGTCTCTTATTCTAGCAGTTAGCAATAATAAAGAAGAATATACCAATGAATTATAGAAATGCCATGCACACAATAGCCACAATAATTACCACATCAAAAAGAGTAGGGAATTTAATTTACTATCCTGCGAAGTTTTTGCAGGAATAGGTTTTGCCTAACATATGCAATGGGCCACCGGGACTTACATGGGTTTAGGTTTGCTGGTAAGTAATTATGAAGAATTTTTCTTAAATCCTAGTACATTTTGTGTTTCAGGGAGAACTTCTTTCACTATGCACATCTCAGTGTGGAAGAGACCTTAAAACCTGTCTCAGTCACTGACTGAGTGAAGAGCAACATTGCCTAGCCTGCCCATCCTGTGTTCCTTCGTATTGTCACAGTTCATTTCCCCTGCTACGGATGTAACTGTATAATGTACTGATCATAACGGCTTTTACTTAACAAAACATCCTGCAGTATTTTAGAAGTTTGCTGACACTTTTTATCATAATCAAGTTTTTCCCCAAAATTGGAGTTATGAGAATAGTCATTTCCAGCAGCTCAAGTGCCTCTTGAAATCACTTGGTGGCTGTGACTATATGTTCAGATCGGTTCTCTATGAAGGGAAATTCAAAGGAAGGTTCACCTTATTAATTACAATTTGTAGACTTGTGTTTATGATGGTGAATGTTCACGAAGTTCAAACGGTTCAAAAAGCTCATGGAAATTTGCCATTATCGATTCATTCCATGTTTCCATGAAATCTGAAACCCATTCATACTTTGCTAGCAGGATGATAAGGTTATTTTTCTGGTCGAAAGCATTCACTTCTCTCTCTTAGGCCAGCAATAGATGCATGCAATTTCTTTACCAACATGCTCTGTCCTCACATTATCTCTGTGCTTATATGTAATTTGGTCCTCACACTACGAGGTAAAACAATGGTTGTCTATCGGCAAACACAGCCATGCAAGCTGAGAACTAACTTTTGTTTCCCATTCTTGTCAGACCTCACCTCAACCCGGCCGTGGATCATTTGAAAAATAATATTTATAAAATAAATAATTCATGCTTAGAATACAATTGTTTCTCCCATCAGCTCGAGGATTTTGATTCTCAAATATTGAGGGTTAAATAGCAATTTGAAACTATCTGGTATTTCAAATAATTCTTACTAAGCTCTTAATTTTACAACCTGTAACAAGTCAGAAGGCCGACATCTAGATGAGAGAAATTCTTCTCCCCCTTGATTTTCAGAGGATAACGTTTCTTTTGTACGAAGTGACATAGATTTCTCTTCGTTTCTCTATGCAGAGTCATGAAGAATCTATACTTCACAACAATGCTAAACCAAGGCATAATATCACAAACTCAGGTATGCATTTACTAATATTCCTCCTAAGGAGCTGTACAAGTTAATAAGTAGATAAAGTGACGCTGAGTACATCCTGTGGTTGAGAAAAGGAACAAGTATTGGAGATGCATTTGTGAAGGAGGGATTAGCACTATGAAGCTGAGTGCTTCCATGTCAGGATGGGCAGGCCGCTATTTGCAGAATGCCTTCTTACTCCTCTTGGATCAAGTCTCCTTTAATAGAATCACCCAATAAGCCACAATGGATTATATTTAAGGGGCCGATGCAGAGAAAGCAAATTCACAGTTAAGAGTGTCCTTTAGCACGTAGGTGCAATTGCAGGTACCAAAAAACCAGACAAGTGGCCCCCTGTCGTGTTCAGATGTTGGAAGGTACTGCAAACTGAGAATTTCCAGCTTTTAATGTTGGCCTAAAGCCACCAAGGTTTCTCTACTACTCCCACTGCTCAGGCATTTTCTTGACTTTGGCCTCCAATGCCCCTTTCACACGTGCACATTTTGCTTTTCACATGTAAAACCCTAATAGCTGAATTGATTCAGAAATGCAACACTAGAAAGAAGAGGGAGGGGGAAAAAAGGTAAGGGTGGCTTGAAAGACATCCCATAATACATAGAAATGTCAACGTCTGGGGGGCGGGGGGGATGTCCCTCATGCTAAAATTTAGATGTGCAATGGTAAATACAAAATATTGCATAATGGTGGGATGGGGGCTAGGAATGCAACCACTCACTGACCTGCAGATCCCAACGTGTCCTTTGTGTCATTCCTAAGATTTTTTTTAACACATGGCAATATTTGTCTCTAGCAATTTCTTTTTTAAGTGAATGCCTTGCAACTACTGGTATTTTCCAATTCTATACACTCTTCAAAAATTATAGTAAAATTTCACAAATGGGTTTGCCTATTTTTTACTGTCTCATGCTGGTGGTCCATCTGACAGTAAGTGCTAAGTTCCTTCTAATGAAACTTACAAAATTATATTGTTCATATGCCCCGCCCCCCCAAGAAAAGAATGAACATCAAATACCAGGTAAATGACCACTAAATAAATGACACTGTGAGAAAACATCTGCAATATGCAACAGAAACTTAAGGTTTGGTTTAACAATTGTAATGTTCATGCATCTTCATAACAGAAATTGTACATTCAAGGATTGTGTCTCTGTGCAAAGTACAAACATGTCAACTTCAGCCCAGGGGGCAATTTTCCCTCGGTTTATAACCCCTTGAAAATAGAGGTTTCATCTAGAAAACCTAACAAATCCTCAGCTGCTTTCAACATTATAATATATTCATAAGGCAAGTATTCACTGGCAAACATCTAACAAATTAAACAGCATTAGGGTGGGTTCAAAATCAGTAATGTTGGGAAATGGACCAAACCAACCATGAGATACACAGGGAGCATGAAAGAAGAAAAATAAAATGTAAAACAAACAATATGAAAAGCAAAACATTATGGGAAGAATTTCAGCCAGTAACAGAGAAAATCACGAGTATGGGTATGTACGCTAAGCATTACATGTAAGCATGCAAAACTAGCTTTAACATTAAACTGTAAGGCTCCTGAGTGAAAGGAAAGTATCTTATATTAAAATATATATCTATGTTTTAATCACATACCATCGTAGTAGACAATCGCCCCGACTAGTTTGTCCTTCTGGAGCATTGGAAAATGCTCGAGGGCTTTTGATTTGCTTAGGACATAACTGCTTTTCAAGCAATTACTTCCAGCCACCAGATCATACAGCTTGATTCCTACCCAGTAGTAGGGTAACTGCCACCATCTACAGCATAAAGAGAGGGGAGATTTCTTGAGAAACAGACCAGAGCATTCTGGACTGTCACTTCAATTACAAAATGCTTTCCATTTCAGAAATCCAGAGCCTATCACACCTAGCAGTGAGTGGCCTGCAAAAGAAATCGGCAAATTACCTCACTGTTTTGGACACCAACATCTCGCTGCCAAAGAGTCACCGCTGACTCACAGAGACCCCTGTGGGTGTCTGAAACCGCAAGTGTTCACAGGAGTAGAAAGCCTTTGTGGAGCCGCTCCTAGTGTCCACCCATGCGGGCCGCAGTCCAACCCATGACCGCTATCCCACCAGGGCTCCTGTAATACTGGCTTAGGGGAGTTATAGAAGCCAATGAATCTGTGAGCCTTTAATTACTGAGCTCTATGGCAGTGGTTCTCCACCCTGGTTATTTATTAGAATTCTCTGGGAAGCATTCAAATACGTACACATATACTGATCCATGGGACTCACACTTACAGAGATCGATTCAACTAGCCCTGGCGGCATGATGCATTACACTTTGGTCTGCTAACCAAAAAGTGGGCAGTTGGAACCCACCAGTGGCTCCCAAAGGAGACAGATGAGGTTTTGTGCTCCTGTAAAGATCGACACCTCAGAAACCCTGTCTACAGGGTTGCTGAGTCAGAATTGGCTCAATGGCAGTGAGTTTGGTTTGTTGCTTTAGTGAGGGCACCCAGTTGATGCTAATGTGAACCCAGGGTTGAGGATCACAGGTCGAAATCCTAAGCAACTGTGACCAAAGAATGACAAAAATTATTACATCTGCTTCTAGGTCCCCATAACATTTGTACAGCTAACAGATTTTTCTAATCTGCATTGTCTTCATACCTGTATTCCAGTTTACAGTAACTTCATTAGGAAACATTAGGAACAATATTAGGAAAAGTAGAACCATTACTTTATGTTCTGATCCTACCAAACAAAATGTCACTGAAAGTTAACTTGGGAATCTAGGCTATCCCAACATGGTTTGACTTTGGAGGTGGGACAGGATGGGTCAGATTTTGCGGCAGGATACATTTTAACTCTTCTTTTTATACACTACACAGCACTCTTTTACATTCTCCCATGCATACGCAGCTTCGCATCTATACACTAGTACGCTCAATGGAGTACGCAGTTGCTAATTATAAATAAACAACACAAGCCCTTTTGCCTTACAGAGCTGGCAATGAGAGGTGGGTCAGTCAGAAGTAATTGAGGGAAAGTCACACGTTTATAAATACTACAGAGGAAAATGTCTGAAAAAAGAGTAAAGCTTAGCACTAATTAAAATCACATTAAGAAATACCCATGGGGGGATTATTTTCATTAAAACTGTGTTGTCCTATTGACCTCAGACAGGCAAGCAGTACACAGGTGACATCAGCAGGCTTACTTGTAAACTGGAAGCATTATAGGTAATGCAGATGATAAATGGGGAGCAATTTCTAGTAGGTTGGCACGCTCGTGAAGGGCTTCTTTTACCATCCTATACTGCAAAGCAAAGCAGAGAAAATTAGTTTGGCAATAACAGATCATAATATTTTCAAAAGGCAAATAGACATCCTGCCAACTGATTGATACACAGAAACCTCTCTACCTCTGAGCGAGGACTGCTCCCTCCTAATCAAATTTCTAATAATACATCATGCTGTCAACCTCAAAGATTTTTTAGAAACCTTAACTGTATTTGCATAGGAGAAAAACATGCTGCCAGGGTTCCCAGGTGTAAGACATTTCCTTTGACTTGAGTCACAAGATTATTGTAACAATTTATCTTGCATTCTCTGCACTGTCCCTTTTCTCACTTCCCTATGATATTTTTTCCATGTAAAGGATAATAGATTGTTCAAATGCACACGGAAAGTTTACTTCTGGCCACTTCCACTGAGCCAAGCCAGGTTGATGCATAACAGCTACTCAGTACCTTATAGATGCTACAGCAGCTTTTCTCTTTAATTCCTTGGGGCCTCCTGATACTATTATAAGGCTAATTTTACAATGAGAAAACCGAGGCTCCCTCTCTCTGTATAAGTCAGAGCACATGACCCCTCCCCTGACTCCCAAGCCCCTGTTCTCTTCCTTTCATCCATGAAGACACAGAAAAGAAACATAAGCAGAGGGGTGAGCACCTTCCAAACTGATGGTGTCAAGTCTCTGCCGCTGTGTGTTCCTGTACAAAAAGCCAAGAGGGAGTTAGCTCTTTTATGGTTTTTTCCTTTCCCCTCTCTCTCTCTCTTTTAAACCCCTCTGGCAAATGTCATCTTCCATACTGCCTCTGCAGGTTTGAAACGGTGGCAGTCTGGACACGATAAAGTGTGACAAAGGAAAGCATGACTCAGACCGTTTGCTGACGAGCATGTCAGCGAGCGGCAACACAGATGCACGGCTGTCGCTGTCTTCAGGAGGATCGATGTGACACTCCCGTCGGACTGCCACATACGCTCCGTAAAACTGCCCTGGGAAGCCGCAGTTCCGTGACCATCGGCCAAACCCCAATCACCACTCTTTAAAAGACAGCACGTTGGAAAGGGATGCTGTAAATCTGCCACATGGACAGGCCTTGTAGGAAGAGCCCTGGAGTGTCCATCTGCAGAATGCACGGGGGAAAGTGCTGGCACCCCTCTCCTGAAAGATACCGGAGCAGGGTACACTACACAGATATTTGCAACAGGAAGAAATGTAAAAACCATTTAAAAAGGTGGGGGGGGGGACCAACACCCTGAATTAATTGGGTAGAAAAAAAGCATAGTGGCAATTTTGTTTAACAACCAGCATACACAATTACCTGCTCGATATCCAACTTCATGATAGCCTTCTGCAGATAGCGCACACCGCCATGGATCAATTTAGTGCTTCTGCTGCTGGTCCCTGATGAGAAATCATCTCTTTCTACAAGGGCTGTTTTTAGTCCTGTGTAACCAGAACACCAAATTAACTTCTTAAATTACACAATTTGTATGTAATTCATTAAAGGCACTTCTCCAGGGTAGAGACAATCACAAGAAAAATTACTCTGAACATGGATAAATTTGTATTCAAAGTGCAGTACACTGTCTATATTATAATGAAGAGATTTTAGTCTCTTCCTGGGGGAAAAGTCAAAGCGGGGCTAGAGGCATATTAAACGGTGAATGAGTCACAACTAGAAAATATTACAATACAATCTCACGGCAGGATCATACACGGGTGCTTCCGGGGGGCCACCCAAGACAATGGTATTCGGCTCTCTCCATGTAGAGTTAATGCACTGCTGGGACATTGGCTAGGCCCTTCTCGTCCTTCACTATAAAAGTCCAGTCATGTCCCAGCCCCTCATCTCGGATCTCTAACACACCACCAGAGTGTGTAGCTTATACCTCCTTCACCTGCTATCGCCTCTTTGCGACGGTCAGTTGCCCGACCATGCGTGGCAACTCTAGGCACCATGGGAAAGGACTTTTGGAATACACCCACATGGATTTCTTGGGCCAGTTTTCTGAAGTAGATTTTCAGGCCTTTCTTCCTACTCCTCCAAGTGAGCCAGAGAGCGCCAAAGAAACCGGTGAGCATCAAAGCAGCAGACCAGTCCCCACAGACAGGCGGTGGTTGTGAATGTGGTGCGTGGGCTGGGAGCTGACTACAGGCCTTATGGACCAAAGGCAATACTTCCACCACTGGGCCGCCAGCGTCTCACAGTGGTGCTACAGAAGGGATCCCCTGGGACACGGAGCGGCAAACTAAGTCAAAGGAGAAGGGAATTCTCTTTGACACCGAGGTAGTTATATCTGCTTCAAAGCATGCAAGCAGGACCACCGCCTGACCTTTCCTTGAGGGTTTAGAATCACAAAGGAAAACAGACATCGTCACAAAGGAACCCAGTGCCAAGGAGAGAAACTAAGTAAGAGCCTGGTGAGGCTGAACAAAGTCGGGGCCTTCCAGGAGTCTCCACTGCCTCCCTCACCTCTGGAGATGGGAAGAGCACCTTGGAGAGGCTTTTCAGAAGGCTTGGGAACGAATTCACTTTTCTTTCCCTACAGAGACACCTATGCTTCTTCGGGACTGGACGGGGCCACACACCAGTTTGAGGGCTAAAAGACCGAAGCTCCCAAGACCCAGAGTATGGGTGAGCGCCAAGCCGGAGCAGTTTCCACAGCTGGGCCATGCCTGGTGCACCTTTGGGGGACGAGAGAATGTCACGGAATCCAATTACAAGGAGAATATGTAACGGGAGCAGTTTGGGCTCACAAAGCTCATAGAGGAGAACCTGTGCATGTGCTCCATTCAGAGCCATTTATTACATTTAATATCAAAGGGTCGCTTTTAGAACTTTTAATAGTTTAAATATCGTACCCAAATGTCATCATAAAATCAGGGCCATTCCCTTGACTCAAAAGGACAAAATATTTGGAAACCGTGGAGAGAAAAAATAGAGAATTTTGATTTGAGGGCAGAAACGGCTAGTGCCCTAACTAGGTAACAAAATAACACAAAAATTATAGCTATTGTAGACTCAGGTCACTCTCAATAAGCATACAAGCCAGAATAAGAGCAGTAAAATACTCAACACTTAAGGTCATAGTGGTGTCTTAGTAAATTCCATCTTGGATGTATTTAATGCACCAGAAAAATAACATATAGTAAATATAGTACCTAATAGTATATAGTACATATACAAAAATAGTATATAGCACAATGAAGAGCCTTAATTGAGAAATTAAGTGGCAGGCAACATGCTCGTTTCGAAAATGAATGACGCACGGTCACGTTTTCCGTCCCAGAAAGAAACAAATGGATTTGAAAATATCGAGCACCAGCTCGTCTCAATCTGGTGTAGCTGTTCAGTTTCGCGACAAGCCCCCACGACACTTGTTCAAAATTACATTTGAAACGCTATGGAAAAGGCCCTGTGGGTGTATTTCATCATCTTTCCTTAGGAGGTCCAACCCCATTCTTCATCCCACCATGGGAAGGAGCTCTCTTTGGCTTCTCCCCTGTCAGCTGCAGATCAGATGAGGGAGCTCATTCCAAATGGCATTTCGCATCCAGATTATGTGAAACTGGCCTCTCTTTAAGCCCTGGAAGCACACTCCTAGCAGCAACACGCTCCTGCCTCCTCGGCAGGCGGGCGGGCGAACAGAGCGGAGACAGGACAGAAGAGCTCTCCTCTGACCCGGGCTTCCGTCACTGGGCCACCCAGCGGGCGCTACAGGCTCTTCCCCAGAGTCAGTGAAGCAGCAGACCCTTCCAACAGAGCCTCCAAAGGACTTCCTGGGAAGGTCAAGTTGACCCGTGAGAAGCACAGAGTTTGAGGACCCAGCTAGGTCATGTGCAAATTCAGACTGAGTGATCATGCTGTTTTAAAACCACTAAATGTGGGGTGAGTTTGTTGTGGATAGAGCACTCTGCGGTGACGAATAACTGTTGCCAGGTGAGATTTTTAATTGCACCCTGGGGGTGAATCTTCTGGAAAGAGTCTCACTAAAGATGCATGTGTTTAGAGTGGGTAGGAAAACAGACAAGCGTTCTCCTTGGTAAAGACCAGCTGAAGGCGGGAAACAGCAAATGCTTGCAAGAGCCCGGTTCGTTCAGGAGCTGCCTGTCCCTCGGGGCTGGGGCATAAGAAGGTGGTGAGGAAATGGAGGGGGAGGAACCGGCAAGGCGGCTCACACAGAGGAGCACTTGAACTCTGTCCGGTGGGCCATCGTTCCTTGCACTTACTCTCTAAATCTCCTCAAAGGGAAAACGCCTCTCAGAACTCTGAGAACACGGCTATGCATCACCCACCTGTCGGTTTGCCACACTCTGCCTGGTTGCTTGCATACTGCTCTGATCATGGGGGCTATGCCACAGGTCCTTCGAATGCCAACCCAGAGACCATGGCACGGAATGTCTCAGTGGAGCTTCCCAACTACAACAGAGTCAAACAAAACGTGGGGCTTTCTGTCTCCTTCCAGAAATTAGCCAAGGAACACCGATGGATCACAACAAAACCTTGCCCCAGTAGAGTGCTAGAAGGAAGCTACTACGTTGAAAAGCATTCGAAACACAAGGCAGCCTCAACCATGGATTCTCTGAGACAGCCGACAGTGGTGACACTGCCCAGGACTGGCCATGTTTCATCCTAATGTCCACGAGGTTGCCATGGGTCGGAGTCAACATGGTAACAACTAACCGCAACAGTAGCCTCGTAGACCTGTTTGAGAAAGCATGTTCTATTAGAAAGCACAGGCTGTAGCATCAATGAGTTAGAACCATGAACCGGAGTGTTTGAGGTGCTCCTTCAGAAGAACTAAGGTGTACCTAATGGTTTTAATCATTATGATAAAGGAATAAAATCTCAGACGCTGTCAGATATTCTTTTGACAAACACTATTGTACTGCCCCTCAGGGAAGCCACCAGAGTGTTTTAAGCTGAAAAATCAGATTAATGTTCTACAAAAACTTCTCTGGCAGTTGAGGCGAGGGAGGCAGGCTGAAGAGGGAGAATAGGTGGAGGGACGATGCCATTTAAAAACAACTACTCTCTGTACCGCTGGGCCGAGGCTGTGAAGGCACGCCCCTCACATGAGGCCGAAGTTAGGTACTGGAGAGCAATATGAAGAGAATTCTCAGAGGAGATTTTATTTTTCCCAAACTGAGACAGTGGGAGGCAGGGAACTACTCTAGGAATTAGCAAGCCATCTCAGGAGGATATTTCAGGATATTTAAGTGAGACCTAACACTTTAAAGCCTCAAAACTGTTTTTACAAGTATTGGACATTTTAAAAGTTATTCACAAGTGAGAAACCCCAGTGAATACCACCAAAAGTTAAAACGAGCCCCCTCTGTCAGCGCAGGCTGTTTTTCTTGTCATTTCCAACAAGAGCTACCAACCAGGGTGTCTGGAGATAAATGATACTGCTCCTCCCAGCAAAATGAAAATGCAGTCCCCAAAAGAAAGCATTACTAAAAGTTTTTTGAATCACAAAAGAAAGGTCATCTGAGACGCGAAGATACTGCACAATTGTCAAGCGCTATTCTACACTTCTTGGCTGCTGTCAGGTTGATTTGCAACTCCGAGAGACCCAAGGAGACAGAAGAAAACCGGCCCCTCGGGTTTTCTAGGCTTCAGTCTCTATGGACGCACAGCTCCAGGTCCTCCTCTCACGGGGCCATAGGCTCAAACTCTCAACCTTCCTGCCAGCAGCCAAGCACTGCAAGTCACTGCGCCACCGGGCTCCTGACCTTCCCACTCTATAGAATGAAAGTGGGAGAAAGAAAGGAAGACAAAATCCATTGCTTCTCACAACTACGTTCTTCTCACAGCTAATTTCTTCCATAACTGATGGGCTGCAGGCCAGACAATGACTTTTTTCTTAAGCATTTTCTGGTGATTTAGCTGGAAATTTACACAGCAAATTGATTTTCCTGTCAACATTTCACACCCGATTATTCTGTGCATTGGCTGCTGTCCTCACAGTGTGTCCGCATTCCCCCAAATCTCTCTCTCGTTTCCCTGTCCCTTGCCTTCTCATCGCTGCTCTGGGGCCGGAGCTGTACCTTGGGTCGTGCATAGTTGATCCTGCTCAGGAGCACAGTCTTCACGGGCGTCAGTGTGTATTCCACAGGCCTGTTACTTGGCTCCAAGGTGACTTCGGAGAACAGCTTTAGTTCTAGTTTCAAAGGACGTTTAGGGTTCCTCCAGACTCAATCAGTCCATTAACTCTAGCCTTTTTTAAATGATACTACATGGGGTTCTACATTTTCCCTCCCCCCAAAATGCACACTGTTTCCACCCCCACAAGTATTGATCTTGGCATCAAAAGATTCGTTTTTGGATAGTCTTGAGTTAAAAATCAGAAAGGAAGTGGAAAAAGGGTATGAATGGTATTTTTGAAGGGCACTCAAAATTAACCTCTTGTATTCTTAAGTCTTAGGAAGAGTCTGTAAGA